TCCAGTGACACACTCAAGAAGAGCTTAGACGAGGGATTTTGTTTTGCAGCTATCTAAGACTGAACCAAATACTTTGAATATTAAGATTTTTTTTTAGTCTTGATGGCAGAATGTCTTTGTGTCTGGATCTATCTACAATCGCCACTGATAGTTTAAAGTAAAGAAGAAACATTTGATTTACAATAATAAGTCTTAGTAATTAGACGTCTTACTCACAAACCACAACAACCCATGGGATTCAAGATCTGGAAGCAGACTGACAGGATGCAGGCTTTCTTGTAGCTGTGTCAATATGAGACAGGATGTTCTAAATAAAGCACAGTTGAGATGTCTTAGGAAAACAGGAGACATATTTTTCCACCCTGAACCAAAATACAAGTGGATTACTGTACTGTTTATCCAAGGCATTGAGATTATTCCAATTAGTTTAAATTTGTTGCTTCTTCATCAAACCTACATCATTACTATAGGAACCCACTGTGGTTCCTAAACTAACTCAGAAATCTGTTAAATGATTTAATAACAGCCTGTAAATATTAAGCATACTGGTCACCTGTTAGTAAATCAACTTTGATTTATTGTGCTAATTTCCCTTAGAGGAATCACTGGGATCCAAATGGAAAATCCTTAAAAATGTGTGTGTGTGACTGAGAGACTATATGAAGTAGTAGGTAGCCATCATTACTTGCCTTCACAGGCTTCTTGGAAGCAGCGGGATGTAGGCCTCTCCCTTTAGGTCTCACTCTGGTATTTGTGGAATCTGCTTTGGAACAAATAGACCACTTCCTGACCCTCTCCCCATGGGATTCTCTCATGGAGGAAGAGGAATGAAGTTCTGAGGCGAAGAGCCGAGGAAGGAAAACGATAATGTGATGTCTGTAAATGTAGTTTATAAAAGCCATTGTTTTCCAACCTGTGTTCTGCGAGAGTTGTACGATCATGACGGGACAAATATATGTCAAATTACTCCCAGACTTTTCTCAGGCAGTGTTTGAGACAGTACTGTTAGCATTTTGGTC